GCGGGGCTTTCAGGCGGTGTCTGTTAATACAGGTGAGTTCAGAACCCTTGCACAAATTATTCAAGGGTCATATGTCGATTGGCTCATCTCCTTTTTTTTGGGGGGGGGGGGGGACAAAGACTGCTCTTTTGGCACATTATCACATGAGTGATAACTCATACTACTGTATGCCAAGGTTAACTTGCAAAGCTCCTATGCTAAATGTGTAAAGGTTGGCCAGTCTGTTTATATAATATGATGGGAGTAAACATCGGTGGATATCATGGCATTGTAATATTGTGTATAGACAATAAAGTCATTTTATCACACAAGCCTAATGCCTACTAATTTGCACACCACACACAGTTGCCATTGTGGGTATCAACAAGCTTGCACATGTTTTTACACACACAACCCGATATTAATTAGGGCCCCACAGTGATCAAAGTTCTACAAGAGAAACAAATTACAACAATTTGTCATGGTGCTCCCCGTGGTTATATGGTTGGGTCGTGGTTTCTGCCCCTTTCTCGCTGATGCAGTATGTGGAGTGCCATTATTAGTTGCTTTGCTGTGTTCTGCCTATAAAAGCCACTATTTGAATCGGAGAAACCATGTCAATCGTCAAGTGAGAATTGCTCATTTCTAAGCAGGAAAGTAAGGCAAGTGACTACATAAACATGCTATATACCCAAGGAAGTAAAGTCTTCAAATACTAGAATTCTAATTTATATTTCAGTTCATAATGAATTACAACCATTAAATTGCACCAACTCAGTTCTGTCGAGGAAGAGAAGTGCTATTGCTTAAAATGAACACAGCGATATTCTGATGCTAGTTAATCTTAGATATTTATCTCGTAAATGAAATGGCAATGTGTGATTGCTTTTAAGAAAGAAAATTACTTTTCCCATCTGCTGGAATTCAAAACGATGTGAACGCAACATAAAGGAATCTCGCCCTGTCCCTGCCAGAAATGCCATCTAATTAGAACAAACAAAAAGCCCTGCTGATGAGGTTTTAGTCTCTTGCAGTATTGTTGAAATTCCAGCTATTTTATGGTTAAAGGGAGGGTACACAGGGTTATTATCTGTTTTTCTTAGGTTAGTTAATATCAATAAAACTTTATTAATATATTAATAAATATGAATAATAATATTAAGTGCTCTGTGTCTTGATCTGCTGGATGGCAGAATCCACTCTCATTCATAGATGGGCCATAACACAGTCAACTATGAATGTCTGACAAGCAAGTCAATTTGCATTAATAATAATATGGACAAGAATAGAGTAATACCCGTATGCAGAAGAATAGGTCATTACTCACTTTAAGTGACAAAAACTTGTTTTTAACAAAATATGTTTATGTTGAATAAAAAGGAATTCTGTTTTACACTGCCAGACCAGGTTGGCCAATAACTAACTGGAAAGACTTCTAAAGACACAAAGCTAATCATGAGAGCAAATGCTCTGTAGACCATCATCTATGCTATGCTAATCTATGTGTCCCTCACATTAATCACCTGAGAACAGAGCACAATGTGACATACCCATCGCTCAATGCTATTTGATTACTGAGGAAATAAGATTCAATATGTAATTCTATGCCTGTTATTGCAAATGGGATATTCTGGGTCATATTGCGGTAAACTTTCTGAAGCTCCAAAACAAACAGAGGAATGTGCCTTGTGTTATGGTGAGAATACAGATTGATGAAATTACAACTTTTATTGTATAAAGAAAATAATAACTGGACAGCAACAGGGAAACGTGCATTCTTTCCAGAGGAGCAAGGGAGCAGACATAGGACAGAGTGGTTGGAGTCCGGCGGTGGACGACGGTGTCCTCGCTGGAGTCTGGTGGTGGAGTAGAATGAATATAAGAGGCTGACCCGTTGGCCGCCGGTGTGAGCTTGGCGGGAGAGGCCATCCGGTCTGCCTCAGACGTGAGCATGGCATAGAAGGCCACTTCGTCGGCCTCTGGCGTGAGCGTGGCATGGGAGGTCGCCCCATTGTCTTCCGGCTTGAGCTTGGTTGGAGAGGCCACCCTGTCAGCCTCAGACTTGAGCGTGGCATGGGAGACCGCCCTGTCAGCCTCCACTGTAAGCTTGGGTTAGGAGGCCGAGCCATAGTCTTCTCTTCATCTCCAGCCCTCCCCTCCGTGCAGCAGCTTGTGTTCGGCAGACACGCAGGCCATTACCTGCCCCCCAAAATTTCTAGGGGAGGCTCGTACCTGGCCAGTGGGAACATCAGTCTCTGGAGGCTTGCAAACTCTGTTGTGTTTTCCAGGCTTAGGTGTCTTTGCGCAGCCAGGGTTTTAGCCCACTGGCATGGTCCGCCAGTGAGCTGAGACAAAATGAACCTCAGCCATTCACTCTGGTCAGGCTTAGGGTCCAGCAGGCTTTCAAAATTAAATTGGCACTGTAGCAGGAATCCTCCACAAGGGAATTCAGTACCCTCATAGGGAGCTGGGGTATCCATGAACATATTATGGGGAAATTGTGTAGAGTCAAACACTGGCATTGTGATCATGGCATTTCACCAGTCCTGTTTACCTGCTGCATCCACAAAGTGGGCGAAGTAATCATGCGACGGAGTCAGAGATAGATTCAAATGCAGTTCAGCATTTTTATTAAAGACACTGGCAAACAGATCCAAAACATGAGGAAAAAACAGGCAGAAAGGCATGTGATCAGCAAACAACTCTGAAGGCAATTCCAAATTGGTTTTCCAAAAACCAGAGAGCTAGGCAAGATCTAACAGAAAAAAATCTAAAACACAGAAAACGAGTAAGTTCAGGTAGCGGAACACAGGTAATCATGAAACATTTAGGAGACAACCAATGACAAGACATGGGCAGAGACAAGACATGAACCAAAACAAAATGCACATGGCAACATAAACAAACACATGACAACATGGACGTAGGCACCGTAGTGCTGAGAGCTGCGAGCATGCAGCAGTCGGTGAGAGGGGGAATATGTGACAGTGAGAGATCTGAAACATCTCCCTGATAGGCCAGTATGATGCACTGGTGTGGTCACTTGTTCCACTGATCAAATCTGGGATGCTTTATCCTGCCAATATGAAAAGTCATCTACAGTAAAGGCACAATGGAGCAGCTCTACTCCACCACCTGCCTGTAGCATGCCCATGGTACCTTGTTTTCTTGTGGCATTTCAGGAATAAATGCTTAGCATTTGTGCTACATGAACCTTATTATTTGCATTCAAAACACTCATGTAACTCCTTAGTGCAACTTTTCAGCAATAACACATTCTACGACCTGTTCTATGGGGTCTATGGGGTCTGAAAGTTCCTAAAGAGGTCCTGCTTAAAAACACTATACATGTCGTAGGGTTCAATGTACAACAACGTGCACCAGGGTTCAATCTTTAAGTGTTTCCATAAGAGAGGGTAAATCTTTAAGGGATTTTCCATAAGCAAAAACTCCGATATTTAATTTTAGTTTCCCTAAGAGTGTAGTAAGGTTTAATATTGCAGATTCCATCATTATAGTTTTGTAATAAAGTTTTTAAAATTACATATAGGGATGTGTCAGCAAAAACGAAACGGTGGCCTTGAACTTAATCTTTTTACTCGTCTCCAACTCCAGTTTAACTTCAGTTTTATATATATTACTTCTCTCTCTCTCTCTCTCTCTCTCTCTCGCTCACGTCTCCTACCTCTTTAGCTTGGAGCTAGAGTGGGGAGAAGAATAAAGCAGGAAATGGGAGAGAGAAAAAGTGATAGAGATCCTCTCCTCCACATATAAGGGTCAATCTTTTATCTCTCCTCTGTAGATGTGCCATCTGGCCTACACTTCTACATCTTTTACACCTACTCTCTTTCTACATCCTCCATTTTCCCTCTCATTTCAAAATGCATTTCAAAACACCTCACTGTCCTGTTAGAGAAATCTTGTCTCTCTGTTGCCGAGTTGTGAAGAGCTGCAGCTTCCCCACAGGTAGTTGCTTTGTTTTTAGTTTTTATTTTGCACCAGAGGTGTGTTCGACGTGTGTCTTATATTCACTTTTAATGATTATTAATATATAATTAATGTGGGTCAACTGTTTCATAAATGCCTATAAGCTCATAAGACGATTTTATTAATTTTACACTATCTCCTGTACTGTATGCAATGACCGTCCAGCTGAGCACCTAACAGCAAAGAGGGTTATGTCTAATTTCCTTGGATGCCCATAAGTCCTACTTCTATTGCTCTTTATTCTCGATTTCACTTTCCTCTCTTTTCCCTTCACTCTGGCATCTCTGAGCTCAGTGCTCCCCCTTCCTGGTCACTATAAGTAAGTGCACTCTGTCTGGGAAACCAGTGAGATTCTCTGGTGCATATCTTCATATTCCTAATGAAATAACCATTGCAATTTTAGGAATTCATCAAGTGCAAATGATTTCATTTTCATGTCACATGAATGAACATGTAAGAAAACATCTGACTACTAAACCCACATCTCCGCTACAGGAGCGTAACAATACACAAATTTGAAATTTGATATGACACGATACATGGGGTCTCTAAATGATACCTTCTAGATACAGTAAAATATGCATTGCCTGAATATGTCGTAGGTTTCCATTTCACAATTGATTAAAACATTAAACATTATTAAAGTATTGAAACTTAACAATGACAGAGTTTGTGTGATTCATTTAGAGCTTTATAGCATATAATGAAAAAAAGCTGTGCATTAAAATGCAACAAAATTAAACATGACTCAGGGTTGCTAGGAAACTGTCGGCAAAATATCTACCCTAACTAGAGTACTGTGCAAAAGTCTTAGGCACCCTATGTTTTTTTTTTTTAATACAAACTTTGTTGTTGTTCCTCTTTCGGCTGCTCCCGTTAGGGGTCGCCACAGCAGACATTTGGTCCGTGTATTTTGATTTGGCACAGTTTTTATGCCGGACGCCCTTCCTAACGCTACCCTACCCAATTTTATCCAGACTTGGGACCAGCACTGAGAGCACATTACTGCATGCAGCCCCAGTGGCTGGGGCTGGTTCCCTGCCCAGGAAACGAACCCGGGCCACATTAGTGAGAGCGCTGTGGCCTAACCACTAGTCCTCCAGGGACCCTTAGTACAAACTTTGTTATAAGTTTTTTTTTTATATGACTTCTACTATTGAGTCAGTACAAAAACACTTTAGATTTCCAAACATTAGTTTTCCAGCACAAAATTAAATGTTACAGAAAAATGTTTGTGAAGAATGTCAGTAAAGAAAGCAGCAGATTACATAAGTGACCACTTTTCAGACAAAAAAACATAATGAAGGCTGCTGGGTTCGCTGCAAAAATAAGAAGCAAGTGCAACATTCATAGTTCATTTCCTTATAAAACTGCACACATTGTACCTGAGACTTTTCACACCAAATATGGACTCTTTCATTTATTACTGTTTACTGGTTCCTTTATAGTATTTTTTTTTAATGTAGAAACATTTACGTTCATTATTTTTGAAGGCATTTTTGCTCTACTGCATTTCTTTGCATGTGCCTAAGACTTTTGTACAGTACTGTATTTTTCTTTTTTTTTTTTTTTCTTAACCAACTTAGGCTATGTGTCTGCAGCACACAAATTTGTCACCTGAAGTTTTGCTTAGTAGCTTAAACGTGTTTTTGAATCCGATGTTCAGCATTATACTGAGTGGTCTCATATCTGCAGCTATGAACTTCCCAATCACCACAAGCTGTAGGTTCAATTCCTGACAAGCTCATGTTAAAAGTGTATAATCGACCAGGAACCTTTTTTACGGCAATCTCCTTATACAGCGTCCTCCAGAATTATTGATGCCATTCATGAAAATGAGTGAAAATTAATATATAAAAAGAACAACACATACAATACAACTATGGTACACTCCAATTAACAGAGATATCACGTTTTATTTAAGGTAGCGCAATTCTTTCTACTAAACACTGGTTTCAAAATTAGCACTCTTACAATCAATATTTTGTGACACCTGCCATGGAAAGACTAAATGAGTCTCGTTCTGTAATGAATAACAAGCCTGGATAGGCTTGTAGAGAGCTCTTGATCCACTTTTTATTCTTCCTTTCCTACTATTCGTACTAATACTTTTTTATTCTTGGGTCTGTGCATGTGGACTTCCTTAATTCTTCGATTCAGAGCACAGGTTCAAATCAGGAGACTGAGATGTTCATTGCAAAATATAGATTTTTTTTGTTACTTCAGACATTTCTGTGTTGATTTGGAAGGATGTTTTCATGTTCCTGAAACTTCTGTGCTATGAACTATATCTATGGTCTGAACCTCCTGGCAAAGGAAACCAGGTTTTGGGCTGAAATATCCTGGTATTTAGCAAAATTTTGCCACAAGACAGGCACAAAGCATTAAGGATTCACCACCACAGGTTAAAGTGGTGTGTCAGATGCTTTTCCTTGTATGCAGTCCCATTTTGTCATCAAATATGCTGATGGTATGCATGAACAAAAAAGTTGATTTTTGTTTCATATGACCACAACCCAACTGTCAACTGTAGTCCAAGCGCTGCATTTTGTGAGGTGCTTCTTTTTGCTATGCTTCCAAACAGCCTATTCAACTTTTATGACCGTAGCATTTAACAGATTTTGAATCCTGACAACCACAAGAATGAACTAAACTGTGTGATTACAAAACTGTGATCTTTGGGCTCTTTTTTTCCCTTCTTCACCATCCTCCTCACTGCTCATGGGTCCATTTCCTGGTAGATTTACAAATGTTACAAATTAAGCTAATTAAGCTTAATGATATTTCAAACTACTTGTATTTTTATACCAATTACCTGATTTGTGCAGGTCAACAACCATATCTTTTGCATTGAAAGTTCTTTGGATTATGAAAGTTCTTTTTTTTTGAAGAAGAAGAAGGAATTTGCAAACTTATGGTCATATCTCAGGGAACCAGAACAGGGTTAAAGGAAACAACAGAGCTCCTGCTAACTGTTTTTCTCGGGGACAATCCAATGACCTGCATTCCAATGAAATGCACTACTTAAAAAAATGTTCAAAATTGGCTGCTACATGCATCTGAGAAAGAAGTGGCTCTTATTAATTTGTCATCCATGTTGTCTAGACAGAACTATAGGCAGGCTGTACTATGCAAATGGACACAATTGTGTACAGACAATGGAAAGATGGAAGTCTTCTGCCTGATTGTAATTTGCATAAAGTTGAAACCAGCTCATTTGTCACTGCACCAAACCTGAAGTTCTCACTGCTCGCTATCCCCCAATCCCTTGTGCGTTTTTTTCACTACGTTCCACTGGAAATGAATTGGAGTGTAATTTCAGGTGACAAATTTCCATGCAGAGGAAATGTACCTTTAGAGGCATTGAGGGCAGGGAGGAGTTTTGCATGTGACAGACACAAATCTGTAACTTAATAAAGGCTCATTGCAATTAACATAATGGACTACATTTATCAAGCGGGATCCAAATGAATTTATTCGTAAATTTGATAGGCTTCAAATCGTATTATTGGTTAGTAAAAAATTTTTTTTGTATGGATTATGTTGTCAAGGATAAATAGCTTAACACACATATCTTTAATGAACATTTCTGATCTGCAATGGCTGAGCAGCATAATCGGAGGATTTGCGTAGGAGGCGAGCTGTCACCATTTAGTCATTATTCAGCTCTTAGTGAGCTTTGCCTTTTTTGGAGTTTTGTGGGGATCACTATTTGTAAATCACCTGTGCCGTGAACTCACTTGGTACTTTATGGATGAGTGGTAATTATCAACATATACATTGAGTACAAAGAAAATCAGCATTACCCAAAGTTTGGTAAGACTGCACCGCAAAAATGTATATCTTATTATATCTTATGTATAGCTTTGCAAGATATGAAGATATCTTAAATAAAGAAAATGTTACCTAATATTTACTAATTTCAAGCTTAAATGGCCTTATTCTATTGGCAAATAATTTTGTTTCTTTCTTAAAATAAACAGTTGAAATAAGCAAAATTATCTGCCAAAAGAATAAGACCATTTTAAGCTTGAAATGAGCAAAAATAAAGAAATAAATAAATAGAAATCTAGAAATAGGGTTAATAATGTCATAAAGAGAAATATTATTTGAATTCGCCTGTATTCATAATATTTTTTATTTGCTCGGATATAATTTTTTGCAATGTGAGCGGAACTTTTAGTTCGGTTTGGCCTACACAACCATTTACACACAACTTTACTTAAAGACTGATAAATGAGGCCCAATATCTTTATCATAATAATTAGGATGGAAGTGATGGTGAGGTAGGGATGATGAATGTTTAGTGAGCAAGACTGTTTCATCAGCTAAAGAGGAGAGTGAGTTATGGCAGACTAGCTGAAGGCAGCAGGTGAATTTGTTGAACGTGAGTAAATATTTAATGTGCGACAGTTTGGGAGAAGTGTTAAATGCAAGAGATTGATGACAAAGATTTGAACCATCTAGCATGCCAGACATTTACAGATATGACTGGACTACCTATTCCTGATATAAGCTTTGATATAAGATCAAAAACGATGTATCGAATGCTCACAAATTGTGTGGAGCCCGTTGACTTTTTTGCTATTTTGCTGTAATTCTGAATCATGAACACTGTGTTGTGGGTGTTGAAAGAAAAATAAATTTGCTTGTATGACGGTCTTCCACACATACGCACATATCCGTTTTCTTTCACGTACATCCACATAGCTATAGACTATAAAAACAAAAACAAACAAATAAAAAAATATGACTTTTTAAACTTAGGGCAAGTCATCTAAGTATTTCCTTGACTCTATTTCAAAGAGTCAAAACTCTCTTACCAGTTGTCTAGTAAGAAGTATTGCGAAATACTGTGTGTTGCAGGAGTTTCCATTGCAAGGGTAGGAGTACTGGTTTTATCTTTGGTGTCTTATTTGGGGAAACCTTGGTCACTTTCACATATGCAGTATTTAATCCATTTGAATTTTACCCTGCATGGCTTGTTTGGCCACAGCAAATACACTCGAGTGGTGAGACTGCTTATGAGAAGTGGTCTTGGGCCCATTCCACACCTCAATATACCTGTATACTGTATACCACTTTGGTGTGGGTGTACGTTTGCTCTTTATTTGAATGAAACAGCATATTTGACAAGAAATTAAATTTAAATATATATTGTGAACAAATCCATTACTGCTTTGGCTTATTAAAATCCAGTTGTGCAGGTATCAGTAATGCACAAATTAATAAGCTCTGTCAACAGGATTTCTGTTCATTATCTTTCTCATTTAAAAAAGTCTAATTTTGTCCTCCTTGTCCAGCGTGCTGTGTTATTACTGTCTAATGCACACCATTAATTCCACATTCCACCATTCATTTTTTGTTGTCTTTCATTTACTTTGAGATAATGTTTTCCTAGTTTGAGTTTAAGCATACCTGCTGTTTTCATCAGTGTTATAAGCAGGTAGGTTCATAAACACTGCAGTCAAAATAATACCCAGAAAATCTGTACTCACTTTACAAAAAATGCCTAAAAAGGTCAAACCAGTCTAAAGAATGCAGAAAGCCATATGTTAACAATGCAATTCTAATAAAGCAAATGCATTCTGAGATGCTTTTCTGCTCACCATGCTTGTAAAGCATGACTCTTTGAGTTACTCTAGCTTTTCTCAAAGCAGTCTGGCCATTCCCCTCTGGCCTCCCTCATCACCAAGGCATTTCCACCCACAGAACAGCTGCTCACTGAATGTTTTTTGTTTTTCGCACCATCCTGTATAAAGTCTAGCGACTGTTGTGTCTGTTCAATTTCACTCGAATGATCTGCATTCATTACGTCCCAATTCCTCCTCTACCACACACAGTCTAATACTGAGAGACACAGATTGCTGAAAAAGCTTCCCAGCTTCCTGCTAAAATTTGCTCTATTTACAAAAACAGTTTGTATCCCTTATACACACAGTAGTGTGCTTTATCTCCCTTTCTTTTATACAATAAATATGAGTCTGATATAACCTGGTAGATATCACAACATGATATTATCAGCATTATGAATGAGTCAAGGTTAGCCTCAAAGAGATTTTCATACAGAAGACACAAGTTTACTGTTAAAATGAAAGCTTTTAAA